AGGGGGAGGGTGACTGAATACCAGGAGGCAGCTACTCGCAGGTCAGCCATGCACGGTTCTGATCTCCGACTTACTCCCCTAAGAGACCCCCGGCATAAACCGGGTAATTCTTTCCCGAGCCGTAGGCATAACCACGGCCGGACCTCCGACCATGCTGACAGGCCATGGCTGCGGGGCCACAGCCCCCTCTGCCCCGGCCTTCCGAAGCCAGCGCTCAGCATTCACCCTGACCCTCTGTCCTCACGGCCAGGGCTGGCTGTGACAGATGCAAATAACCCAGTCAGTCCAGTGCCCTGGTGTGAAGGCAGTAACCACGGACAGTCAGGTGGTAGCTCGGGCCAAGCAGGCGTCACTGGCCTGGGTGACGTCGAGGGACACAGAAAGGTCTCACCCTGAAGGAGGTATAGGGTCGAAACCCAGGTGGAAGTGGGGTCTGGCGCGAGCACCAGAGACCTGAGCACATCCCGGCGAGGGACTGGGACAAGTCTTTGCTCCTCTGCTCCTCAGCTTCCGAGTCTGAAAGCAGCAGCTGCCTGGGGCGGCCTGGGATGCATTGAGAACCGGCCTGGGATGTTCCGGGGCAAGGTGAGAGCGGTAACATCAATGTGCCCTGTCCGGGAGGCAGGCTGGTCCCGTGAGCGGCGACCGTGCACCCTGTCCGGGAGGCAGGCCAGTCCCGTGAGCGGCGACCATGCACCCTGTCTGGGAGGCAGGCTGGTCCCGTGAGCGGCGACCGTGCACCCTATCCGGGAGGCAGACACAATCCTATGAATCATGGCTGACAGCTTCCAAGAGGAGCGCTAGGGTGGGGAAGGTGCTCGGAGAGGGCAAATGACAGCAGTCCCCGAGTGGACAGAGCGGGACCATGCCTCCCGCCGCCCGCTCAGAGGCAGGCGCTAGGCCCACTGGCTCAGTTCTGGCTGACAGCACAGTCACCCGGAGAGTTTTAAACTTTCATACCCAGGCTCCACCCCAGAGGCCCGGACTTCACAGGCCTAGGCGTGGCCTGGGCAGGGGATGGTGGGAGCCAGCCAGGTGAGCCCAGCTGGACTGAGAACTGCCACCTAGACCACCTGACATCTGAGCCCCACAGGGGCCACCTGGGCCCTGCCTCTGTGCCCACCTGAACCAGCCACAGGGCTGTGAACCCACAGATGGGTCAGCCATGCCCTGTCCCAATAGCCACTCTCGGGGGTCCTACTGGAGTACAAGGGCCATGCAGCTGTTTGCGGGGCATTTTCAGCCCCGCCGCGACTCACTGATCCACAAGCCAACGTCCCGTGTGCTCCCCTAACTGCTCTTCTTGGGGCCCAGCTGACGTCGTCCTGCCCCAACTCAGGGCCTCTGGGCCAAGCAGCTCTGTCCTCGTCCTCCAGCTCCCACTCGCTGGCCCCTGCCTGAGGCCCCCATTGTGCTATCGGCCATCGGCAAGTTGGTGAAGCTCCCAGGTCACTGTCTCAGCTGGAGGAAGGCGCATCTCCCCGGAGTCCTGCCCTCCAGCCCAAGGACACCACCAGGCCCCCGCACAGGCCGGCCCCAGAGGGCCACTGGCTCCCGGGCCAGGAGAGGGCTGGAGGCTGTGGGAGGACCCTAGGACCCCCTCATGCCCGCTGACAGCCAGGCCTATGAGGAGACATCCCTCACTCCCAAGAGCCCTTCCTGGGCTTCGAACAGGCAGCAGCTCCAGGCTCAGCAAAGGACAAGGTGGCAAAGGGACTGACAGTGCAAGGTCCTTTCCTGGCGACCTCATGAGCCTGGAGCAGCCTCTGGCTCTGCAGGTGTCCAGTCGGGACCCTCCGGGCTGTGGCTGAGTCTTGTGGGACGAACCTTTGCACAGTGTGTTTACATGGGATTGACAGGTACACGGTCGTGTAACCATCATGACTGGACATGGTGCCATCACCCCAAACACCCCATGCCCCTGCGCAGGGAGCCCCAGGCCCCGCTGGCCCCGGCCGACCTGAGTGCCGTACCCACAGCCCTGTACGCAGACAGCAGAGGCAGAAGCAGAGGCGGGCGGCGGCCACCGAGTCGGGCAGGCACGAGGGGCGCCTCGGGGACGCATGTCTCCCGGTTACCGAGTGGAGCCCTGTGAAGACGGCCCCGGCTTAGTGGTTTCTGCATCCCCAGGTGAGGAGCATTGGGACTGTTCTCTGTTTTTGCTCAGTCAGGTTCTAAAAATCTGGTTCTCGGCCCCAGCAGACTTCACGGCCACCAGCAGGGACCAGAGCCCCTCAAAGAGGGACCCCCATTGCAAGTATCTGGGCAGTCATGAGCATAACCGGGGGTGGGGGGGAGGCGCTGAGGCTCGGGGACCCGGAGCGGCCTGCCTGTTCCCAGGCCTGCACATAGTAGGTGGAGAGGCCACGAGGTTTGGCTGTGGCCAAGGGAGCCCCTGGGATCATGGCAATGGGGACGGGGGCCGAGACAGAAAGGTGCCACCTCCCCAGGGGGGGTCACTCAGAGGGCTGCACCTGCTCTCCACGCGGCCCTTCCAGCCAGAAGAGGACACCGCGGACAGTGATCCCAGCCAGCCGGTAGACCAGACCAAACTCCACACAGGCGGCCAACGCCTGGCTCCCCTTGGCTCCTGAAGGGCAGCTGGGCTCAGAGGTGGCCGTGCAGAAGGGCGGGCCTGGCCGCTCACTGCCCTTGCGTCGCGCCGCCAACAAGAAGATTACTCAGGCCCTGATACGATCGCCGCGGGACAGGCGGAAATTGGAGTGTCCCGGTGCTTGATCGCGGCAGCCCACGAGTGCGGCCGCAGGGACATTAGAGCCGCGTAATGGCCTCATTCCGCTCCCTCACAGCCCCGTGACCTTGGGCAGCTCGGAAGCCGGGCGCTGTGTTAGTGAAAAATCAGGAGGTAGGGAACGGCTGCAGGGCTGGCCGGGAGGGGCTCTGCAGCCTGCCATTCCTCTGTCTGTCCGTTCTGACCACAGGCTACTAGCCCACCAGGGGCCACCAGTTCATACAGACCCCTCCCGGCAGGGCCTGAGAACCCCAGGTCAACCTGTGATGGGAGCTGTGAAGCCCCAGTGGGGGCTGGGAGGGGGACACATTAACAACCGCCAGGAATGGACAGAGGGACCCTAGGCAGGAGGCCTGCTGAGCACCAGGCAGGGGCCGTGGCTGCAGACCCCAGTGGGAGCTGAGGGCGTCCAAGGAGCATGCTGTGTGTCCCTGCCCCACTCCCAGGAGGGTCTGATATGAGCTGCCCACGGCCACACGGCGAAGGGCGGAGAGCACAGGCCGAAGCCTCTGCCATCTGGCCACACCACCAGGCTGTGTCTTCACGTCCTTCCCTGAGGAGCCCCAGATCCAGGCTCCCCAGGCAGGTCAGTGCCCGTCCAGACCTTCTAAGCACAGCTTCAAGAGATCCCGCCAGCAGGTGGCATGGTGGCTAAGGCGCTGGATCCCACATGGCCAACAGTGGTTCGAGTCCCAGACCCAGTAACTTGAAAGACACACCAGACATGTGTGCGAGCCCAAAATCCTGCGAGGAGAACAGAGAAGGGATTGCAGCGTGGCCTCCCCCACGGGGGGTGGGGGTGACCTCTCTCTCGTCTGGTGAGGGCATGTAGCCTGTAGCAAAAGAAAAAAAGTGACTCAGTCAGACGCCGAACCCTGGCTTGGCTCCTCCAGACTGACAGGGTCCGGGGCCGTCCACCTGCCCAGGCCCACAGTTCCAAACGCAAGGGCAGGGCAGCAGCGTCTCTGATGGGGAGGCTCCCACCCCGCTGCCCGCCCTCTCCCTTCCCTACGGGGGCCAGACAGACTGGGCCAGGGCCTGCAATGGACGGCCCATCGGGTAGCTGATAAAGGCACAGTGACCCCAGCCCGACCCCAGCCTTGAATGGAGCTGCTGGCCAGCATGGGCCCTACTGGGAGCTGCTGGTGGGGTGGTAAACGGGCCTGCTCCTCTGCTCGCCCAGGCTTGGGGGGCTCCCTGAACCCTCACTCCTCCCCGGGTGCAACTGCTGAGCCAGGAGATAAGGGCAGGAGGGGCAGGGAGGGCCCTGGAGAGGCTGCTCCCTGGCCTTGGCCCTACCCTCAGCCAGGATTCTGGCTCTGCAGGCTGAGTCCTCTCTGGTGGGGTGGGGATAGGCAGGGCCTACCTCAGGGCTGGTAGGTAGGGCTGCTGAAATCTGGGTAGGCTTCCTGAAAGAAGTTACCTGGAGACCTCGACCATGCTGCTCTCCTGTCAACACTATTCTCAGGGCTCTCCGTTGGCCCCTCCTGGGTTCATGAAGGAGGGTACCCTCAGTTTCACCTCCCCAAGCATGGCTCAGGCACACTCACTCAGACTTGGGGACTTCCAGGTGGGCCTCCTATGGCCCCGAGCAGGAGCGCACCCCACCCTGAGGTCAGGGAGAGAAAACTGAATGCCAGCCACAGCGGCCAGCAAGCCTGGGCACTCGCCAGGACCCCCGGGTCCGCTGATGCCACTATCCTCACAGCAAGCACTGACCAGCCCCGCTCTCAGACTGGGATACAGAGAGGTAAAGTGACTTGGCCAAGGTTGCACAGCTACAGGGACAGAGCAGGCTGCAGACCCAGGCGTGAGTTCCAGGGTCGGCGTCCCACTTCCCGTTCCCCACCACTCCTACCCCTCAGCAAGTGACAAGAGCCTTTTGCCTGCGGGGACTGAGGCAGGAAGGGCTACGCTGGCACTAGCCCTGTCCGGGAGCCTTCCTGGGCCACTCCACTTGCCCCCCATGTCCCTCCTGAGCCCTGCAGGCCCTCCCCCAGCATGCCGCTCCCACCCCCACAGAAGACTCAGATGGCTTGACCCCACCTGAGACGGTGGCCTTGGGGACACCAGCTTTGCATCCTCTTCCTTCAGCTCCTAGCACACGGCACGACCAGTGGCAAGCAGCAGGCGTTCCAGAACGCCAACCTGCGAGGTCCCCTCTGCAGTCGCGCGGACCACGTGCCCACGTGCCCGGGCAGAGTGAAGACAACAGCAGCAGGGCTGCTGGAGGCCTGGTGGAGCCGGCTGCTCTGACTACACTGCCCTCATCACCTCCCCGGGAGTCAGCCCAGCCTGGTGCACGGACTGTGGGCCGTGTTTACAAGTAAAGTGATGGGCCAGGTCAGCTGAGAGCAGGAGGCAGGCCTAGAGTTCCCCACCCTGGCTCCTGCCACACCCCACGCAGCGGGTGCTTGGCCCAGGTCAGAGGACACAGAGCCCCCCGTGGACGAGCCCTGCTGCAGATGCAGCCCTCGCCCAGCCAGCCAGCTGCAAGAGCACCGGCCACCCATCCCACACAGGCAGGGTTCAAGGCCCTCTGGGCTTTTTAATCATCCCCGCGTGCCGTTTAGGCGTGATTTATAAAGTGGGTGTTGGAAGTCACCTCCTCCACTCAGCAAATTACAGAGCGGTTTTGGCAGCATCCACAGGGAATGAATCGCCCTTGATGAACCCCGCTGCGGCGCCCGCGGCCACTCACGGAAGCACCCCACCCGCTAGCTGGGGCCCGGCGTGCCCTTACCAGGCCAGCCTGGACCATCCCAGGACCCGAGGGCAGCAGGGCTGTGGTCTCAGGTGCCTCGGGAACACCGTGCTGAGCGCAGAGCAGCGGGGCTGTTCACCCTCCTTGGGGACTGGCCACCTGCCCCCTCTGCCACCTGCCAGGCTTGGGCAACCCTCTCGGAGTGAGCCCTAGGGCCTGCTCTGAGCCTGACCCTTCTTCCCGCTCCAGGGCAGCGTGAAGGTGACCCCACCTCCCACTCCCCACCTAAGGCCTCCTCCCCAGTCTCCTCCTGCTTTCTGTCTCCATGGTGGCTAAAGGCCTGGCGTGAGGAGTGGGGCCCCAGAGGCCAGGCTCTGCTAAAGGCCATTTTAGGAGAGAGGTCACCTCGCTGGGTGTGCTTCCTCATCTGCAAAAAGGGTGCCTAACCAGCAAGGCAGCAGTGAGCTTGTGAGACCACGTGGGTCCCGCAGTGGGCACAGAGCCCGACCCAGGAGGTGCCGATGATACAGAGTCACCATCGCCACCGTCGCCACGCCATCGCCGTCTCCGGCCACGGCGCCTGCTCAGGACCTCGGCCCCTCCCACCTGCTCTTGCTTGGCCACCCTGGGCCTCAGCCTCCCTTCTGCAGGCAGCCAGCCACCTGAGCCCCTCCTGAGACAGAACCAAGCGGGCAGTCTGACTTGGGCCTGGAGACCTCACCTGAGGCCGCCCATCCCGTGGGTAGGGACCCACATGCTGGGGGCCCTGTGCTCACACGGATGTCAGGGTTCAAGGTCGGGCCCCAGGGGGAGGGGCTCCAAGGAACTTCGCCCTGCTTAGAAACCACCGGCCACGAGTGCCTCCTTGCTGATAAGTACCTGACCAGGAGAAGAGAGGCCTGCCGGCCGTGCCAGCCGCGTCCACAGACAGAAGGGGGCAGTCGGCATGCGTGTGCCACGACCCCTGCAGCGCGGGCGGCAGGCAGCAGTGCCAACATCAGTCACGTGTGCTTGTGGCTGCGTGGCAGAGAACCCGGAGGCCCGAGTCTGGCCAGGTCCGTGGGCAGCAGAGTCTCGTGCAGATGGAGAGGTGGCGGAGGCTGTCCCGTGCATGCTGCGGGGAGGCAGAGGACCCTGCACCAGACCACAGTCCAGGCCCATGAGAGGTCCAGGACCCCGGTTCCCAGGGCCTCCCAAGCCCCAGCCCGAGGCTGGCCTCTGGTGACAAGGCATCCCTGCAGGGGCCTGGAGGAGAGAGGAGTCTGATGGGCTGGGCTTTGGCCCACACCCACGCCACTGCGCCCTCGGGTGTCCTGTGGAGCCACGGCAGCAGCCCCGGCAGCTGAACCTCGGCCGTGGCATCTTTAAGGAGCCGGCTACTGCATCTCACCCTCTGGCCCCCTGGGCTCTGTCTGAGCTGAGGAGCCAGGGAGTTCAGTTCTCATGAGCATGTGCATTCACTGGAACATGCTGGGGACGGGGAGACTCAGATGTCTCAAAAAAGTGGGGGCTGGGGAACCAGCAGTTAGCGTAATGGCTATGTCGCTGGACTCCCACATAGTCGACCGCGGTTCACGGCCCAGACCCGGTGACTTAAAACT